CATTCCAAAGCCGCTGCGACTTTACTTTTTCTCACACGTAATACTTTTTTCAATTGTTCCATTGATGGTTGTTCTTGTCCAATAAATACAACTTTTAGATAGTCACATAGTCGATACGCAGGTAAGAGTAAGATAGTAGAAAGTGATGTTGGTTCTTGTGCGAACGTAATTACATAACCTTTCAGTTTGTGATGTGTATGTCTTCGGTTAGTAAGTTGAATGATATTTACACAAATATAACCTGCGGAAATCAAGAGTTGTTCCGGTATCGTTAACTCTTGAAGACACGGTGGAGTTGTTCCAATCCATATATTTGTTAGGGAATATATCAGAACACTGCCTGCATTCATTGATCGTTTACAACCGGTGCATACGCAAAGATCGAATGGATTTTTACTATCATCTGCGTTTTCTTTAATAAGCCCATTTCTATCCAACAAAACTTTATAACCACTTCCGTCTATATAAGGATGTTCATACGCAAAGTCAATTTCAAAAACTGGGTTTTTTAAGTATATATTAGCTTCAAGTGACGGTAAGTGTATTTTTTGTGTAGTAATAGTAGCTAAGTGCTCATGCGAAAATAGACCTGAACAAATCACACAGGGTAATTCCTTAAGCGCTTTACAGTCGATATTTTCTCTAAATCTTGCCAGTGCACCATTAGCAATGGCCTTATTAATCGGTTGAGGCCAATTTATATACCATTCTTTTGATGTATCGAATTCATCATCCATTTCTAGAATATGCAGCAGAATTCGTGTCTCCAATGCTCGAGCGTCTTTTTCTATGCAAATTTTTCGCTTTTTTGCACAATTAATTTCACGCTGTTTACGTTGTTGTTCCCTTTCACACTGACGATAATCTGCATGTGCTCGTCTGTTAGCTTTCTGTTGTTTATGCTTTGACTTATAACTGTCAGAATTCAAAGAATTATCCCTAAAAACTAAAAATTAGTACATTTTCATTCGATACCTCAAAATTTCAACAATTATATTTACATTGTTAAACGTCAATCAATGTCGAATTTCCAGGTTATAGCACTAATCGAAGAAAAAAAATGTATTCTAATAAATTATATAATTCGTATATTGTTTAACAACACTACAAATTCACCCCTTATTTACATTGCCGTCACGGGCTTCAGCAACCTCAGAAACAGATTCTTTATTGTATTTATTTAGAACGAAAGTGGTAAGAATTTTTGCATACGTTTTGTATATCCTTTATTTGACTTTAAACCAATTACATCATGATTTCACTTATACGATATTTAACTCTCTATAACTGACAGATCTTTTACATCATTAATTGAATCAACTAAATTCACATGACCACGGGATATCCGAATACTAAACTTAAAAGCGATTGTCATTTTCATTATTTCACTTATACGACATTTAACTCTCTATAACTGACAGATCTATTACATCACAAAAAAAAAGAAAAAAAAATGTAGTCATAATACTGTAATTGGCATAAAATTCACGTTTAACTATACGCACATATCATGTTCGCACGCACTCACATAAAAAAGAAAAATAACCGAAAAAAAAAAAAAAATGTAGTCATAATAATTGTAGATGACATATAATTTACGTCTATCCATACGCACATATCATGTTCGCACATATCATGTTCACATGCTCATGTACATTCATTAACAAAAAAAATAAAATAGTCTAATCAAAAAAAAATAAATAAATAAAGAATGCAGTCATAATAACCGCACATGATGACACACGTACGTACATACAGGACGTACTCTACACGCACATACATATTATGTTCACACCACTCACGTGTTCACCCGGTCCTTTATCGTAAAATACCACACTACGTATTAACAAAAAAACTATAGCCTTTTCTTAAAATAGATAATCGAAATTCATAACCCTTACTAAAAAAAGGAATCCACAAAATTCTGCATAAGCGACATCAAAAAAGTTGAAGGAAACCATCTCTATACACATTTCATGTTACACAAGAAACGTGATCGTACTGGTACAGTTAACCCAGTGATCGACAATCATTTGATAAACATATCATGACGTCATTTGTTTACCAGAATTAAATAAACTGGCCTAAACTATATCCTAAATTAACTCTAAACTAACTCTAAACTTAGGCCGAAGATGATCATGTGATATTGTGATGATCACTGGGTTAACTCTTCTTAAATCTTCCCTAAATTAGTTATAAGACTGTGCATTTTGTACGCAAGACATAGCATAATTATAAATTTTGGAAGCAACATACTAACAAAGTTAAGAAAAAACACACGCATAAAAATGCATAATTTACTTTTGTTGCATGCATAATCGATAGTTTATTGCACATAATCGTCCCTGTCTATGGACACGCACCAGATCACATGATTTCATATAACAAATATCACGTGACACTCGACATACATAAGCTATTGAAGTTGAATTTTTTTAATTTTTACCAAAATTTCTCAGCAATTATTTGATAGAATTTATTAAACAAACTCTAGGAATTAGTTTGAGTACACGTAGTGATGTGCCATTTATATGATACCTGAAAATTTTAGTGTACAGTACGTACAGTACGTACAGTACGTACAGTACGTACAGTACGTATAGTTCTTTTTTTGGCATCCTATTGGTTGGAACAAATGATCGGCGTAAGTACGTACTGTACTGTACGTATACTACTGTACGCGGCACATCACTAGGTACATGTCCTAAGAAAATAGCCGTGGCAAATTTTTGACAACTATCTGATAGAGGTCATTCTCAAGCACCTCTCTCCATGTGATTGCCTGATAATGGAGGTGATGCATAAGCATTACGATCAATTGAAATAATGATTGCAATAAGTGCTTGAGCATTTTATTCAATTATTGCTATTAATGTCTTCAAGAAAAAAAAAACAATTCCTAAAGCTTCGGCTTCTAAAACATTGGCTCCTAAGCCTTTGGCACTTAAGCCTTTGGCACCTAAACCTTTAGTACCCAAATCGTCAATTTCTGAAACACTAGTTTCTGAAACTTTAACCCTGGCTATTCATACTACTCCTTTTACAAACTATACGAATAATTTGTCATTGCAACAACAGCAGTTTTCTGCTACTCAAATTCATACAGATTCATTATATGAAACAGTATCAAAATACAATTTTTTTTGTATTAATGTTACATTGTGAATGATAATGTTTTAATATGTTGTTCTTATAGTCTTCTGTTATTAATCACCATGGTCAAGAAAATTTCTTACCTTTCGATTCTGTATTTATTAATCCAAGAGATTCTATAGCTATTAACCCAAGAGATTCTATAGCTATTAATCCAAGAGATTCTATAACTTTTAACCCAAGAGATTCTATAGCCGTTAACCCAAGATCTACATCTGTTACTTACAATTCTTTACCTACTATTATTAATTCCAGTACATCCTCTAGCAAATCAGCAAATCAATGGACTCTATCTGAAACCCGTATGCTAATTCATGAAGTAGGAAAGCATCAAGAAAAATTACAGAATGTCAGTAATCCAAGAGAAAAGGGTAGAGTCTGGGATGTATTTGTTTCTAATGTTCAAACCTCTGTTGTTGCCAGTTCAATTTTGAGAGAACGTACAAAAACATCAATTCAACAAAAGTGGGATGTGCTTTTGCAAAAATATCGGGACATTAAAGATAGAATTAGAAGTACTGGTGAAGAACCAATTCAAAATGATTGGGAGTTTTTCGATGATATAGATGAGTATTTGTAAAAAGATCCAAGTGTTAGTGCTCCTATTACAAGTGATTTGATTCATGAAATCAAACGTAAAATACAAAAAAATATTGAGGAACAGGATGATGACGAAGTAAAAACGATTTATTTAGTTTATTTTTTTTTTATTTTTTTCTAATTTATGATTGTGTAGGATTATAGTAAAAAATGAAGAAGTACACGTATTGAAGAACAGAAATCGAATATAGAAGAACTTCAAACTCTTATTAAAGAACAAACAGAAGTTATTACAGAAACTATGCAAAATCAATATGTGCATGCATCTAAAATTCAACAAAAGCAGCACAATTAACAAATGGATATTTTTAGACAATTGTTACTTAAATTTTAAATAAATATGCAAATGATGTATTTATTAACAATGTAATTGCAAATAATAATATATTTCTAATAATATTAATAAAGCTTTTTTAATATTAATTTATAAGAATATCTGTTAAGTATTCTCTCTTTTGAATGCCTGCTGTTTCTTCTCTTATTTCATTCACTAGTATAGATTCATTTTCATCACTATTTGCACTATCACCTAACTCATTATCTTCTAAAAAATATACATCACCCATATCAATACAGAAGTTATGCAATATGCAACATGCATGTATTATTCTAATAATTCGTTCAATATCAGTACAATATATTTCATTTAATAATATTCTCCATCGACCTTTTAAACATCCGAATGCACATTCAATGACCATTCGCATTGATGAAATAGTTTTATTAAAACGTTTTTCTCTATGAGTTAACATATAATAGTCGGGATATGCTTTCATTAAATATGTTGCATCCACAATAATGTAAGTTCCACCTGGAACCCATTGTTCAGTATTTGAAAAAATTTCATGATAAAGTGAGGAATGGTAAAATACACGAGCATCATGCACACTTCCTATAATAGATAAAAAGCCACAGTAAATAAATTAATTAAAAATAATAAATAATAAATAAATAAATAAATTTTTTCTAGCCTGCTTCTCCAGCGTGTATGTAAAACGTCCTTGATGATTAGCAACTGCAAGAAGATTAATAGAATGGAAATTTTTACGATTAACATATCGGGCACCATTCTCTGAAGGTGGATGAATAGGTATATGAGACCCATCTATCGCATCTATAACATTAGGTAGTCTTTGATTTCCAAACCCAGTTTCTTGATACTCAAATCCTTGAGTTACTGTTACAATTCGTGATCCTTGTAGCCACATAATTCGCTCCTTTTCCAAATCCAATAATGCCTTTTAACATCGGTCAGTAAAATGACTTACAGACCCTTGACTTACACCAAGGGTTTGTTCCAATATTCGTATTCCCACTCCATTCGCCAGTCTCCATAACACAATCGCTATTTGCTTCCACACGGGTGTTGCATTAGGTGCATTTGAAATAAACTCTGGATGAGTCTCTAAACGAGACACAATAGCACGAAAAGTAACTAGATTAATGCGAAAATGTCGCCTAAAAGAATTATAACACTCTCCATCCTCTAAAAATGGAAAGACTTCGGTCCAAAATCCTCCTGTTTGGGTCTTCTTTGACGTTGTGCTCTTGTATTGGGTAAAGAAAGTGCGAATGGAATAGTCGAGTTCATTATGACATAATTCAAAGCTAAAAAATGGTAAGTGCTTATTTGCTGCATTTGAATATTCGAATGTCTTTTGTTTGCTATAAGAGTTTCGAGTATAAAGAGCATTGTAACAATTCTTTTGCGTCGTTGTTGAAGATCCATTGAAGAGAAATGTGCTTGAGCAATATTCCTGGTTGCTTTATCAATTATATGTTTTAACCAATCAACACAACTCTATGAAAAAAAAGATGGTTGTCAGCTCCAGGTTTTTTTGACCGAAATGGTTAATCACGATCTATTTTTTTAGCCAATCGGATTATTTTATTAATCACGGAGGGAGGTGCTTGAGAACAACCAGAATCAATGAAAATTTTTTAAAATTAATTCTATAAAATAGCATCTAATTCTGTTGAATAATTGACGAGAAAATTTTATTTAAATTAAGGGAATTTTTGCCACATCTACTTAGAAGATGACAAAAATTTTTCAAGCTATGAATGAAAATTTCTCAACAACATAAAAATTTTTTTAATGAATTTTTTGCTATGTTATAAAAAAAATTTCATTAAACTTTATAAAATAATTGTTAAGAAATTTTCGTTCGAGGTTTAGAAAATTCCGTCACGGCTATTTCCTTAGAAACCAGGAAACTTTGACCGAAATTAACTACTTAATAGAATTCGATAAAAATTTTTAAATGAATTCTACTAATTCATCGAATTTTTTTTAGATAGTTGTAAAAAAAAATAAATTAAGAAAAATTACGTTATGTTCGGTACGTGAAAATCACGTGATTTGGCACATGAAATCAACGCCTCACAAAACATTAATCAATGAATCTACCCCTAACATGACTTAAACCTAATCTAAATAACCCTAACCCCTAACCTTAACATCCCAATTGGTTAAAAATCACGAGGGGGTAAAATTTTTGTGGGATAGCTACCGTACATCATGAAATCAATCTTCCCCAGTATCGCCACCAAAAAGTTGCAGTCACGTGAGAGTAAAAAATTCTTTAAGGTTCGTTTAGATTCGGGTTAGGGTCTATACTAAGGTTAGGGTTAGAGGAGTTTTAATAGTAAAATCGTCCAAGCAAAACTTTTTGTTAGAGCACTAAAGGTAGTTTCTTATATTACTTTTTGAGAAAGAACGTTTGTTTTGAATTTTCCTGATCTTGAAATCTGATTTGTTATGGTCATGTGACTGCAACATTTGGTGGCGATACTGGGGTAGTTCATGTCTGTTAAGGTATCCAGGATTAGCACCCAGAAAATGTGCACCAGGTTGGTTCGGATCATGGTCCGGATGATGATCCGGGTGATTTCTTCGAAACCTTTACTTTTTTTTGATTTTTTTTCTTTTTACTAAGAATTTATTTTCAATTATAACGAAAAGCAATATTTAATGTAATTTACAACTATTGCGTAGAATAATACAAATAAACTTGAATTTCAACATTATAATAGTTTATCTGTTTTTACCCATTTGGTTTGTTATGTTCTTCGATAAATTATGTACTCTTTTTGCAGTTGATCATTTTTTACGCCCTTTGTTTCAGACTGTTAAATATTTTCTTACTGAATTTCATTGACTGAAATGAAATTTGGTTAAATAGATAAGACGCTAACTTGTCTATCAATAGATATTGACTTATTATAATTTAAATAATGATAAGCTAATGACAATAATTAATTTTATTTTATTAACAAAATGACGTATGCACATAATTTTTGTTTTTAGCTATGACTGTTCATACCGTACTGACCTAGTTTTCCGGACGATCACCCGACCAGGTGCCCAGTATTATAATGCGAGGATGGTCGAATTATGCTAAATTATTATATGGGCGGCACCAAAATCATGTGATTTTGATGATAATTTGTGAGATAATTGGTCACTAGACGTTGTATACGAACTTTGGAAGTTCAGTCCTGGGCTAATAAAAATTCTGAGTTGAATGTATCAAAGCTGGACTGGCACTAAATAATAATAGTCAACCAAATATATAGTGAAATTAGCAACTAAGCATGAACTATACGTAATTGGTATTAATAAAATTTTGTTTATTGCTAGATATGAAAAATTTTCAAATTTATATTTTTGATAGATGATGTAATAACCTAATAAACTTATCAAAAATGTAACTATTGAAGTAACTTTAAGTAACTTCATACGCTTGGTTATGATTACATATCAATATGATATTTTGAGTTAAGAGAGACAAAAGAAGGCTTTTGAATATTATATGAAAGTAGCTGAGTTAGGAAAATCGGATGTATTAAATGATATTGGTCTTTACTATTATTATAGAATCGGAATAGAAATGAATTACCAGAAAGTATTTGAATATTGTAAGAGGTCAGCTAATTTGGGCAATGTTTTCGTTATAATTATTGAACTGGTATTAATCAAAATTATAACAAAACTTTTGAATACTATGAAAGACTGTTAATACAGTAATATGGGTCGTAAAACAGCAATGTATAATGTTTTTTAATTTTATCAAAATGGTGCTGGTACAAAAGAGTGATATTCAGAAGTCAAATTATTAGTTCAAAAACATGGAAGTAATTTGAAAACAAATAATTCACCAGATCATATCAATCCTGAACTTAAGAGAATATTATATGATGAAAGGTTTAAATTATATTGAATTGATTATAATGAATGTATAATTATCTGGGAACTGGGGAAAAAACTATATATTCTGCACGTTGGTTCATTAATGATAGATAGCATTTAAAGTTATTTGTGATTCAAATAAAAGTGAGAAAGAATCGAAGAACTACTGTGTAATTGGTTATAAAAAATTTTTGTTCTTGAATTGTTTGGGTATGGCAAGAATTAATTACGGAGATTATATTATTGTATGGATATTATGTCAAAAGGTTCGTTACAACAAAATCTTGTAAAATTATCACAGTTAAAATGGAGGATAAATCGAATATTTTATTCTATATAGCTTGAATCTTGAGTCGACTCATTCTCAAAAACTCGTTCACAGAGATTTACACCAAAGCATTTCGCAAAAATATTTACATAATGCATGTATCACTAATCTCGAACTTTTTAAAAAGTAAAAGGAAAATTACTGATATAGTACCTGAGATTTTTTGATAGGTCAACTGTATACTCAAGCATCAGATATTTACAATCATGTAGTTATTGTGACAGAGATTTCGATCAAACTAAGAATATTTGATGGAATTTAATTTGATAATTATTTTGTATCAAAGATTATTAGCGGATTAAGAACTAAATGTTTGGAACCAAGTTTTTTTAAATTACATACTTATGAAACATATGGGTAGGTTTGATAAACGACTGGAAGCTAATAAGATTAAACTAAAGCTGATTAGGCAAATACATTCACAAGACACGATACTAGCAAACTATCTGATGCAAAAAAATTTCCGAATATACAGTATAAGCTTTGACATAAGTTTCATTGGGAATAAAAGCTTTATACTTTTTTCCTTTCATCAAAGACTTATTATATATTAAAAGTAGCCAATAGTAGATAAGTGGTATATAACTTTAATAATGTTAGCAATTTTTATGGTGTATAATATATAGCGTGCAGAAAGAAAATGGGGAAGATTGAAGATCAAGGAACCCAGTGGTATCTTCATGATAATCACATCACATTTAGGATAATTTGTTTAGTGCTAGTAAACAAATGACGTAATTGCATAGTTTCACTTGATGTGATGATCACTGGGATCCTTGTTCTTCAAGTGTCCCAGAAAATGAAGTACGTATAAATAATGAAGGTAAGGTGTTTATTGGTTGCAAGAAACCTGCGGAGATGGTCATACTGAAGAAATGTCTGTTCAAATGTTGCTATCGATGTTAGATCAAATTTTACTCGCCATTAGATCAACTGTTATATTAATATCCCTACCTCGTGAGGTGCATCAAGTGTAACCTGGAGAGCATCTTCATGCATGGCGAATACAAAGTAAAATTTCCAATTATGTAATATAGTTGGAAATTTACTTGTATTTGTGATGCATGAGGGTGCTCTCCTGATACAAATCCGGATTACACTTAATGCACCTCACGCGGTAGGGCAGCTATTAAAAATTGATAAAAATCTCTGCTTTTACAGTATTAATCGCTATATCAACCATTATATTGTATAAAACCTATTACATCAACCATTAGATAAGCTGCTAGATACAGTGTTGTCATATGTTTCGGAAATGACCTAAATGACTAAGTGACAAAGTCAAAGGTCATACGTATAGTCATGTGACCTAATGTAATGTAGGCATAGTGATCAAGTTCATTTAAGAAACAACAAAATGACCTAGTCATTTTACCAACACCGGCTAGATCAACCATTAAATCAACTTTTAGATCAACTGTTAAATCAACCATTTAATCAACCGTAGCATTAATTACAATGCATCAATTGTTAGATCAACCGTTATATTAACTGTTATATATAGCACCTATTAAATAGCTGTTTAGATCAACCATTATACATTATATCAACCGTTAGATCTCAACCGCTATACATTACATCAACCGTTAGATCTCAACCGCTATATCATAAAAATACAACAGGAGGAACCGTCGATGTTATACAACTAATCCTACACCTAGTGTGCGGCACGTAAAAAAATTATTTTACAATACAAGATCATACCGCTAGTCTATGTTACTATTATAATCACTCGGGTGTAGGATTAGTTGTGTAACTTCGACGGTTACTCCTATTATTATTATTATTATATAATACTCAACATCAACCGTTGAATCAACCGTTATATCAATATGCACTCCTTGCATTAATCCGAATAATTTATTAGATAATTCGGTTATCCATTTGTTTATCATTTTATCCAATAACCCATTTGATATCCGGATATCTATGGATAAATGGATAAACGGATAATGGACAGGAACACTAAAGGAGGATCACTTAGAACGCATATAATGAATTATTTTAAAAGTTTGGGGAACAAACTAATACACAATGTCATTAGGGTCACTGATAAAACTTCTACAACATTCCATCTCTTTAAATTCTCTTACACAACTCCCAATGATCGATGATACGATCAATGGTACGATCAATGGTACGATCAAGATCTTTACTTCCCATCAGTCTCACAGTACTTCCTCGACAGCCAAACTTACCATAATTGGGGTCCCTTAAAGCGGGCAGATTACGTTATAATTAACCAATCAAATTGTTAAAATTTGATGATCCCGGATCAGCCCGACGAAGAAGCAAAACAAGCGAAAAAAAGAGAAATATACGAAAAATAGAAGAAACTGTAGTCTAAACCCACCTTGCAGCATTAACAAAAAATGTCGGGGAGATAATTTTACCTATAGAAACTACCCTAACACTAACCCTAACCAAAGGTGGGCGCTAACCCTAAAGCTAATGAAAACGGTATATCGCGTGATCTGCCCCGCTTTAAGGACCCCCATAATTGGAAATAATCGCAATCGGAATATTGACTAAAATAGGAATAGAGTGATTTGTCAATCATACGCTTAAAGATCTACCCGAAACAATGTAGCAATCAGTATGGTATAGGTGAACAGATCAGTATATAATATATATAGGCTGAATTTAAAAAATATATATATACGTACGGATCAGCAAAATTATAAAACGTAACGCCCATATATCGATATACGTAAATTTGAAAATCGGCCTATACCGATATTATACTCTATACCATACTGATCTGCAAGTACTCGAAACGATAATAAATTAATTATACGGATTATTATAATAATATGTTATGTGAAAAGATAATTAAGGCAAAGCATACTATAGTAATAATGAAAAAGAAGAATAAAGAAGAATTAAGAATATGTAAATATTGAGGCGCAAAAAAGTTCTGAAGGTAACACCGGGCCCGTTATTTTATAAAAATTCGGCTCCGAGTCTTTAATTGGTAAAGAAACCTACCGGAGCCGATTCGTGCAGATAGAATATAGGGTGAAATCAGATAATTAACAAAATATTTTAACGGTATCAAAAAATAGTAAAATATCATGATAAGGAAGATCAATTATAACTTATATATCAAAACGATACTTTATTCAAATTAATCATGAAACAAGTAAAAAAAAAAAAAAGCAATGTATTAATTTCAAATGTGTATAGGATATGGGTAATGACAAGATAAAACTAGTAAATCTAGATTAAGCTTCATTCTTACAATATGTTGAACGTACAATAATGATGTTACCAAAAACGGCTGGAAAGATTTTAAGGATTCATTTGGCAAGCACGTTTTGATGTACGTACGTATGTAAAATTCATGGGGCCTGCTAGTTAAGGATAAGGACTAAATTGCTGAATTAATTAAATACGATACGTATCAGATTATCTAATTATTTTTCCTGATGATCATTTCCCCTACAGATAATTTACCCGACATCATGCGAGTGAAAATTTACCAACGATAATAATATATACTTGTAACTAATCAAATACTAATCCGAGTAACTGGCCTGTAACGGCAGTGTTGGCAATTTAACCGGCCAAACATTTTTTGGGCGGTCAAAAAACGGCCAATTCGGCCAAATTAATAAGTTTTTTTGGGGCGAAAAGGCCAAACAAATTTTGTTTGGCCGATAAAATTGCCAACACTGCCTAAATTCATAGAGGCTATTCTATATTTCATTAATATAATTATAAAGAAGAATTGATTGATTGTATCTACATAGATTATAAAAAGAATCGGTAAAATTTAGGTCACGAAACTGTAGGTATTGTAGTCAAAGAATATAATGGATGAAAGATATGATTGAATGAGACCGGCGCTCGTTAAGGGATTTGAAACTTATCAACACGGAATTATTATTTATGCGGATGTATGTACATACGTACGTACGTATATGGCGATCACAAATTTAGTCCATTTTAAGCATCTTTGAAATTTTTTTTTTAGACTAGTCTTATATGTCTTATAAATTATAATTTATTTTTTCCATTCAGAATGTTAGAAAAAGAATTTGTTTCAAATATAAAATAATAAATAATGCGTAATTATATTCATAAAATATTAACATCTTTGTATTAAACTAGGAAAATCCTACGTGAAACTCGTCGGATTAATGAACTGTTTTCCGAATAGTGCAGTAATGACTTGGAATTATTTTGTTTTTGTTACCAAATAAAGAAAATTTAAGGAAAAATAACCAAAACTTTACTCATTTTAAAAATTTGTAACTTGCAAGTGGTGCTTCAATAATTACTGTTAATTAAATGAGGAAAATTAATTTAGCTAGAAGAAATAAATTTTTTAATTGTTTAACTTGAAATACTGATTTACAAGTTCGGTTGAGTTCTTAAAAAAAATGTATAAATAAACACCATCTTTATCGCAATTCCAGTCTTCAATCAGCTTTTTTGATTCATTATCACTTCAGAGTTTCACTTCAGAGTTTTTTTTTTTTTTTTGTGAGCTGTGCTCCTTTCTTTTATTTTTTATTTTTTTTCCTTCTTGCCATCAACGTTTGAGCTAGTCTCAACATCAATCCTACTTTATTACTCCATTTATAATAATCAAAATGAAGTTCTCAATTATCATTTTGATTGTTTCGACTCTTTCATTAACAGTCAACGCCTCACCGACTAACCTTAAGAATAGGCGAAATTTAGAGAAAAGGAGATTCGGACAGGAGCATACTCCTCAAGCTGATGCTACTTTTCAGGAAGTAAAAGATATAGCTCAGGGTACTGACAAAGAAGAACAAGCTGGAAATTTATCGGGTGCAATGGTTAGAGCTCTTTTGGCAAAAGCTCCCGCTTGTGATCAGCAAGACAGAGCCGACGAAGTTATAGACCTTGGTAAAGAACTTGGTGGGGATAAACTAAATCAAATGGTGAAAGTTGCCCAAGCATATAGACAGCTTGAACGTAACACTCCTAAAGATGGTCAACCATCTGCACTTTGTAACAAGTAAGTCATAAAACAATTATATATGCATATAATTCATATTTGTATATTGTTTTTGATTAGTTGTTCTACTAAAATAATTATGTAGAGCGCCAAGAAACAAAGAACTCGATGGATTAACACAAGCTCAAGATCCAACTGGAGGTGCAAGCAATACCCAAGATCCTAATGCTCAAAATCCAGCAAATACCCAAACTCCTACAACTCAAGATCCAACTGGAGGTGCAAGCAATACCCAAGATCCTAATGCTCAAAATCCAGCAAATACCCAAACTCCTACAACTCAAGATCCAAATTCAAAAGGTAATATTTGTACATCACCTGCTGATCCTAATACAACTGGTATGCCTAAAGGTAAAAAGGCTAAAAAGGATAAAAAGAAAAAAAAGAAAAATAATGGAAAGAAAAATAATGGAAAAAAAAATAATGGAAAAAAAAATAATGGAAAAAAAAATTGTAACAAGAACAATAATCAAATGGATAATGGCAACATGAATAATGGTAACATGAATAATGGCAGCATGATGAATGATTGTAATTATCAAATGAATAATGCTACCGGCGTCAACGTTACCGCCAGTGTTAATAACAACAATAACGTTAATAACAACAATAATACCGCCAGTGTTAATAACAACGGTACCGACAGTGTTAATAACAAGAAAAAAGCTACCGGTGATAAAAAGAATAATGTTACTAGTTCTGTTAATCCCACTTCAACTAATGGAGCTGTTAATGCAGATGCCGTTCCTTCTTCTACTCCCACCTGTACTCCCACCTCTACTCCCACCAGTGATTCGAGTCAAAATAATCAAAATCCTGCATTCGCTAATCCCGTTGGTGGTGTTCAAATGCCACTGATAACAAAGAACAGTGATGGTACTTTTGATGTTAATGGAAATAATTTTAAGAATATAGGTGCTGCACAAAACCGTCAATGCGATATCCAAGTAAGTTTTTTCGATTTAAACTATTATCATTTAAATAAATTATATATTAAATTTTATATTTTCTTTTTTTTTAAAAAAAAAATATTAGCATAATGCTTGTTTCAACAAACTAAACGGTGGCGATAAAAGTATCACTAATACAGATTGTGATAATCAAGATAATGTTTGCAAATCTGGTCCTCCAGTTTTTGCAAACTAATAAACTGTTTGATCATTAAAATTTTTTTTAAATTCTCCAAATTTATATTTGCTAAAAGTCCTTTGTATCTAATTATAGCAATTTGAATTAAAAATCATTAGGAATACTAGTTTAGATTATTCTAAATTAGTTTGGGTTATTTAAATAGTTTGGGTCATTTAAGTAATTTGATATGGTTAGTAAAATAATGGGCTGTAACTTTCTTTTTATCGGGAAATAATTTTTTCACGCTACTTTGAAATAGATTATTTAATAAATATATTTATGTCTTGCTTTCGCGATAGATTTATTTGAATAATATTAATGATTAGAAATTTTGTAATTCTAGCTATTCAATCTTTTTTATACTTACGTACGTATGTGCGTAGTAGAACGAAGAACAGGACGCGGAAATTATGTGATTTAGTGTAATTTAAACCAATTGCACCAAATCGCATAATTTTACATCATTTTTATTATATCAATGCTACATGTATTCGATTCAGCCTGTATATTTAACCATTATAAAACTGATTAATACAGTAGTTTATTTAATACTTTACTATGATCAGTTTATAAAATAAATCAATTATTTTATGGTATTTTTAAATGATAAAATAATT